TTTCAGGTTTAGGGTTTAGGGGTTTCAGGTTTAGGGTTTAGGGGTTTAGGGGTTTAGGGGTTTAAGGTTTAGGGTTGAGGGGTGTAGTTGTTTAGGGGTTTAGGCTTTAGGGGTTTAAGGTTTAGGGGTTTTGGATTCAGGATTTTTTTGGGGGTGTCTTGATGGCGGAGTCTTTCTTCTGCCCAGAGCTCTAGACTCTATGTACACCATGAGCCCGAAAGCCTAAACCTTAAACTTTCGGGAAACCTCTAGTTTAGGGTTTCGGGTTTAGGGTTTAGGGCTTCGAAACCCTAAACCCTGGACTTGTCGAGGTCAGGTGTGCCGCATCTTCGTTAGCCCAAGGGGTCCTCCCCAAGCCCAAACTAAGCCCTACGGCCTACACTAGGCAGAGCCCTCAATGGACACAAGGCTTTCAGAAGTTGCCTGGAGGGATCCAAGAAAACCCCGAAACGATTTGGGGGTTTAGGGATTTGGGGGGTTAGGTGTTCAGGGTTAGGGTTTAGAGCTTAGGGGTTTAGGGTTGTTCGGGTCTAGAAAGGAGCTTGTGGGTGCTTATCATAATATGGATCCACCCTAAGCCCTAAACCCTAAACCCTAATCCTGCCATGCACATGCGATATAAGGGGCTCCCTCACTTTCTGTAAATTCAATAGCCCAGGGGGCTCAAGGCCTGATGCGCTGTTGAAGAGATCGGAATCGTGGTATAGCGTGGTAACTTAGTTCCCGAAACAAGAGCCCCCCAAACTGAAGATTGAGGGTGCTTCCCTAAACCCTAAACCCTAAAGCACGGCTTTTTGAGGTTGGTTTCGGCGGGACTGACAGTCTTAGGCTTGCGGGTGCTGGGCTCAATCCCTGAAGCTAAAGCCCAAAGCCCCTTGTAGCCACCACTACATAGTAAACCCCAAAAAGTTGGCAACCCCATAGCCCCAATCCTTAAGAGGAATGTATAGGGGCCATAGGGAATCCCAGCCCCTAAACCCTAAACCCTAAACCCTAACCCCTAAACCCTAAACCCTAAACCCTCTACCCTAAACCCTAAATCCGAAACCCTAAACCTAACCCCTGAACCCTAATTCCCACATATACCGGTGCCGGCTGGAAGGAGCTACGCGCAGGTGGACGGGGAGTGGCGCTGCGCCCCCGGCTTCGCCGGGAAGCCGCAGGCCGAACCCCGCAAGCCGGAAGTTTCAAAGCAAAAGGGGCTTTGGGTTTAGGGTTTTTTTAGGGCTTTTGGGTTTTTTTGTGGGTTTTTAGGGTTTAGGGTTTAGGGTTTCAGGTCTTTAGGGGTTTAGGGGTTCAGGGTTTTAGGGTTTTGGGGTTTAGGGTTTTTAGAGGGTTTGGGGTTTGGGGTTTCGGGTTCTTTCGTTTAGACCGCATGCCTCTTAAAGTCTACTTACACCCCGAAATCCAGTAAGAGGGCGCCGGTGGTGTCTGTTTCGAAACTCAAGCTGAATTGCTCCAAACTGGAACTCTTACACCCCGAACACAATCCTTGCCACGTATGCAGGGGATCGACGGCTTTCAACCCTAAGCCCTCACCCTAAACCCTAAACCCGAGTTTAAGCGTACCTAGATCTAAGCCCCAGCCCAAGACCGCAAGGAAAGTACCAAAGGTGTTGGAGTTTCACAGGTGTGGACTTCGGAGAAGTGTCTTAACTTACGGGGCTGCTTGCCGCGTTCAGTATTTCAGGGTTTTCGGGTCTTTCGGGACTCCAAACCCTAAACCCTAAACCCTAAACCCTAAACCCTAAACCGTTTCTGAACCGTAGATGCTTCGGAAAGGCTTCGGGGACATCTCTCGTTTCAGGATTTCAAGACTTCCGAGCCTTGGAGGCCGAAGGTTTGTTGAGAGACTGCTTCGGCGCTTCGTTTTCTAGGGTTTAGGTTTTAGGGTTCAGGGTTTAGGGTTTAGGGTTTAGGGTTTTCAAGGGTTTAGGGTTTAGGGTTTAGGGTTCAGGGTTCAGGGTTTAGGGTTTAGGGTTTAGGGTTTACAAGGGTTTAGGTTTTAGGGTTCAGGTTTTAGGGTTCAGGGTTTAGGGTTTAGGG